TTCTTAAACCAGGGCAGAGGGTTTGTCGACTGAAGTAGGTGGAACCCACATGTTAAGCCAGTCCATTGCCCAGGCACATCCAATGTGGTAAGGATGCCAAAATGACTGCCAAATTCCACACAATATTCCTTTAACTGTAAACTTCTGATCTTTAGGGCAGCAGATAAAAAGTGACTTTAAAAGAAGGTGAAAAAGAACAGCAGGACCAAGATTTGCAAGGTGTTACTAAGGAAGAGGACATTTTTCACTCCTATAAACTGGAACAGCTATCCTGCAGTCCTCGGGCTGCACTGAATTTTCCAATGAAATTCTCACCTGTATAACAATGCATAGGGTGAGGGAAAGGGTGTACAAAAAGCACATATGCATTCATAATTGTTAAGTTGTAGATATACCAGGAGACATAGGCAAGAAAAGAAGATCTCCTGTGAATGGCAGTAACAGATTATAACCGAGCATTAGAGAAAGTGACCGATTAATCCAACCCTAAACATAACACAATGGCTAGAAAGGATTTCTCATTTCTTTAAAGTTTATATGGTAAAAAGTTTTGTTTAATCACATATACTTTACAAGAAGTCCCTCAAGAAAAGACAGACAAAACGAAAGAGATTATAAAAGTAGTTTTTTAAAGATTTGGATTAAAAATAGCAACTAGGGACAATAAAATAAATATGGAGAGTCAAACTCTGCATGAGTGTGTGGGAGAGAAGCAACAATTTCAGTCTCCATTGTGCTTCTCCCACTTCACCCAAGATATGCCAGGCAGAATTTGGTACTGATAATTAGGCTGTACAGAAACAACCTGAGGATCACTAGCCTCTAGCATGAACAAGACTGAGGTTACCACAGCACTTTTTGCTTTAGGTTTAAGGCTTTTTGAATTCATACCAACAGCCAATTCCCACAACTGCTGAGTTTACAGTAAAGCAGACTTTCAGCATATCATAGAACGGTTGCCCATTTTCACTAAGTGTCTAAGGCAGTGGTTCTCAACCTGTGGGTCGGGACCCCATTTGGGGTCGATCGACCATTTCATGGGGGTCGCCAAGCAAGGCTGTCTGCCATTTTTTTTGTCCACCATTTTTTCCCCTTTTCCGGTGGGTGCCTTACCTCCCTTGGGCTGGGCAAGCTGGTGGTCGGCCTGCTCCGTCTCTGCCGCTTGCCAGCTACGCCTCGGCCGGCGCAGGGGGCAGAACCACGCATGCGTGGCGTTCCCGGACAGGGAAAGTCCTCGACTTACGACCGGTTGGGTAGTCCTCGACTTACGACCGGTTTAGTCCTCGACTTACGACCGGTTTAGTCCTCGACTTACGACCGGTTTAGTCCTCGACTTATGACCGGTTGGGGTCGCGGCATTAAAAAGGTTGAGAACCACTGGTCTAAGGGTACACTGACAAACACCTAGAGAAATCATACCACTTGCTCTTATATTCTGGAACAGGTAACGTTCTTGGTCTCTATTGATAAAACCAACAACTGTGTTCATAACCATCTCCTCCTGCAGTTAATTAAGGTATATCTATTGATCTCTTTTTACAAACTGACCATTTAAGAGAACTTTGTTAAAAGAACACTTTCTTCAACATTCCATATTTTGTTTAGATATGACCTTATGATACATGTGAAATAATTACTCTTACATAAATATATTTTATGAAATAAGGCACTTATAGAAATCAACTTATTCTACATAAACATTGTTAGTTTTTGAAATCAATTAAAATGAATCATGTTAAAAGGTGCAATAAGGAAAGAAAAGGTCACTCTCTCCCTCCCCACTTCAAAATTCTATTTAAAAAAAAAAAGGACATATAAAAGAAATCAAGCAGACCAGACTCCAGAGTCTCTGTAGTAAAGCAGCCTGGGAAAAGGACACAGCATCCTTCTCCCCAGCTGTGTGATTCAAGAGGCATATTTTAAGTCTCTCTCTCTGCCCAAATGCCTGCTTGATGAAGCTTTATGACCTCTGAGATTTTGAAGGGTCCTGTGGTCAACTGTGCTGGAGAAGGAAAGAAGTCAATCTTCAAAGATTGTAGAAAAGTTTTTGGACCCAGCATTGTAGAAAAAGGTTTTGGACCCAGTGGCACAATCGAGAACTTAAAATAATTTAAAAAGAAAAAAACTTTGAAAAACTAGTTTGCTCAGAAGCTGTGATGCAAAAGGAAAAGAAAAGGAAACTAAATAATGGGTGGGCTTTCTGTAGAAATCAAGCAGTAGCACTGTTGTTCTAGAGCAGGGGTCTTCAAACTTGGCCGTTTAAGACTTGTGGACTTCAATTCCCAGAATTCCTCAGCCAGCCATGCTGGCTGAGGAATTCTGGGAGTTGAAGTCCACAAGTCTTAAAGTGACCAAGTTTGGAGACCCCTGTTCTAGAGGGATTTCTTCTCCACCCTATTCTTCCATTGAACCAAGCAATTGTTCCTGCTGTTTAGATGCTATAAGAAACCCTCAGGTATCCCAACTAATTCGAGAGAATGAAATCTGTACAGCCTCTTCCATTAATTTCAATTAACTAACACCTTCAATTAACGTCAATTAACTATTCTAAAATCAGAATAGCAAGACTAAAGCCATCTTTTGGAGATGAATCAAATCTACTTTGATGCTTCACAACAAGCATGAATGTCTTGATGGTTTCAGGGAGAAGATCTATTTAAAACTGGAGCAGAAGGTGAGGCAGCGACTCCATAGCATGGCTGATAACTGTGGCCCATCTGGTTGGGTGAGGTGTTAGACTGGTTTTCTGTTTCTCAAACAACTTTTTTTCAGAGCAGTTCATTGAACATGATGCTCAATGTAACAACTTGTTGTTTTCCAGCAGGTTCTCACACCTCTTAAAAGTGCAAAAGAGCAATAAGAGGGATTTAAATTGAAAGGAGTTAACTTCAAGCTTTTTACTAACTAGCATCTGAACTCATCCCTACCTTCAGAATGTGCGGATATGTTTGAGTACAACCCCTTTATTTTCAGCTGTTAGTAAACCTAGGCAAGCAATTTAAAAGCTGTTAAGTGAGAGGCATCAGGTTGTGAAAAGCTGACAAGATAAACTGCTCTCTCTGTACAGGACACCCACCTCTCAAAGAACACAGAATTAGCACCACTTTCAAACTTAGAAGTCAACCTTAAGTCAAATCTATTTAAATGTTATATTAAGAATGCCCATTATCCTTATGCAGCACATTTGATGATAAATTGATACAGTCAATCTGCAAAAAAATTATTTATGGGGATAACTAGGAAAATAGGTTATACTAAATACAAAGGCTCCCTAATTTCATTGGCATAGCCATGTAGTTTTCTTGGCACCGTGTCTGGGTAACCGTTCTCATTCTGAAAGCACACCTGAAGGCCTTTTTATGTTCTTGTGGCTCTTGTTAGGAGGAACCATTCACAGAGATTTAGTACTTACACTCAGACAAAGTTAAAGGTTTTGCTGTGTATGAAATGCCAGGCAAATTAAAAAACAGGCCAAGTTCTGTCATTTCATTCTAAGCTAGCCACTACTCTTAGTAGTTGAATATTAATTCTGGGTTACTAATGAGCCTTAGGGTCATTCTTGAAATTTTGAAAGGTTTTATAATTTATCAGCAAACTACCCATCGGCCTATCCTTTATGCGCTCAAATCAGATGCTCAAAACTGTTCAGTGCCTCAAAGGCAATCACCAAACAGAAGGAATTTCTCAAAGATAATTTAGACTTTCTGCCTACTTCTGAAAGTTTGGTCCTTCCTCTGGCTAAAGAAAAGCTCTGCTTATATTGCCATGGCACCAGAAGCTCAAAACAAAACAGGGACATGGAATAAAGATCTGTAAGGATAAAAGCAAGAAAACACTCTTTGGGGTATAGAAGCTGTTACAAGGCACATCCTACTAAGAAAAGGCCAACAAGGCATATGGCAAGGCAAAGATTTCCAAACCAGTAAATAGGTAGGCATGTTCCCTATTCAAACCATCACTCTGATTAAAGTGATAGCACTGTTCCAGTAAGTGGGATGCCTGGATAAATTTAGGGGGCTGCCCTTTGACATTCTGTATACTAGTTCTTGGCGAAGTAAATCCCCCAAAAGGCTATTTGAAGTATGTATATCAAATGCTGGTAGGGTAAAACCCAAAGTAAATTTGTCAATAAAGCACTTTTGTAACTGAAGTTGAGGCTCTGTAGGTTCCAACAATGCTGAAATAACTCTGTGGTAATTATTGAAGGATTAAAGCAAAATAATAAGGAAGACTGGGCATATATTACATATGGTCAAGTTGGTCCATGAACAGATACTTCAAAAGTCCCATGTGGTATCTAAAGAGGGGGCACCAGGCTTGATTTTACCACATCTCAGTTTTTAGCATAATGTGCTTGCTTTTTTTTTTTTAAAGCACTTACAGATAATTTGATTTATGTAGGACCTTCTAATGAGTTGAGAATCTGAAAGTCTTTTGATTGCAAAGCAAGACCACGTCCAGTGCTTAAAGCTCTGTCTTCAAGGCACATGGAGGGAAATTTTCCTAATTTTGCATATACTAAATTCCATCATCATTATAAAAATTTAAGTGGTACTATGGGTCAAGCAGAAAGGATCCCTGTTCCCTGGCTCATTCTATGATTTAACAGGCATTGAGGGGGGAAGAGATAATTTTTTTAGAAGATCCTGTTGTGTACATGGTACAGTGTTTTTTAAACTCCAGCCTAAATTAATACATTCCAAATTTAGCATAAATAAACTATTGTTAGGGCTGGTGGGAGTAGAAATTTAAAATTATTACCCTATTTGACGGATAAAGGTGAATCACCAGCTTACTACAGTGTTTCCAATGCCTCCACATACTGTGGCAAAGGAATTAGTACTACTTGCGAGTTTGTTGCTCTTCAACATGCCTGTCATCTTAAGCAACACTTCCTGATTGCACCAGGAACTGCAAATTTAGTCCTAAACCAAAGAAAATCTTTAACAATATATATATATTTTCATAGTAACCTGAGAATCTGGAAATCTAGGGTTCATTTTCCTTCTTTCTTGGAAGGATGTATAAGTCCCATCAACTGGGAGGGAAGGCAGTTATTTGGAAGTCGGGAAGATCGATCTTTGGTTATTGGATGAAAAGAGGAAAGCAAAAAAAAAAAAAAGTTTGGCATTCTGGGAAGCGATGGCCGTTTTCTCTCCATCTTATCCGCCTCTGTCCCCATATTGGGGGTGTGCAGGGGCTTAATCAGACCACTCGTCTTCATCAAACTCTGATGAATCATCCTCTGAATCGCTGTATTCTACCGCAATGCGGCGTGAGAGAATGGTTGCCACATCATTGCCCCCAACGTCTCGCTTCTCTTGTTCACGCTGTTCTTCAACTTTACGGAGCTGGAATCCTGGCAAGGAAAGAAAGGAAGGAAGTTGCAGGTGCCGACTGTCATATATACTCTCTCTCTCTTTCTCTGTGTATGTATGTGTATGTGTATGTGTAGAGGCAAAATCACATAATGCTGAAGTAGCATTATGGGAAATAGTTGTGCACTGCTTTGCCTCCCCAAGAAAAGGGAAATAGCAGCAACTAAGACAATCAGGAAAAAAGCCCAACACGAAAGGTAACTTTCAGGTTTTACAGAATTATTCAGCAAGTTACATGTTTTGGAAAAGCAAAAATATAGTGAGGAAGATGCCAAAAGTGAGGATTATACTGTATAAGACATTGGACAAAGTGAACTACATGAAGATAATTTTAATGATGAAATGTAGGAAGAAACTAAAAAGAATGTAACAAACGCAGAAGAATTCAGACCATAGTAAAGCATATAAAGCAGCAATGCATATCCTCTCTCCAAAACACAGGAATCAGGCAATTTTTTAAACTTTCAATTAGTCCCAATAAAAAGGATGCAGCCAATGTTGCTGTTTAAGCTTGCTGGATGGAACAGAAAAGTTAAGCTGCTACTGGTGTTTAGGAATCCAAATGCACAATGGCAGTTGCGGAGACTCAAAGAAAATACCTTGTATGAGATTAAATGATTTCCAATATATTTTGCTAAGTTCAACAGCAGAATGGCTCCTAATTGGGTTGTGTTTATGCTATGGCGCTTGGTCTTCAGATATCCAAAATGAGAAGAACTTACCTTGACGAATAGCAGAAAGTAAGTCACTCCTAGCTTCGCTAACAGCAGGCAATGAGGATTTTGGCTTGGAGGGCACCAAATCGGGTTGTTGAATAGAAGCCTCTGGAACACCCATGCCACCAAAAGATAAAGGAGGTGGGCCAGGAGGAGGGGGAGGAGGGGGAGGGGGTGGCACCCCACTTGTGGGCTGTGGTAGCAGGGGAGATGGCACAACGGCATATTCTGCTGCTGGAGGTGGAGGGGGTGGAGGGGCAGCAAAATCTGGGTGAGGAGGAAAGGAGGGTGGAGATGGAGGAGGAGGAATGCCAGGAGTTGGAAAGCTGGCAAGTGGAGGTGGTGGAGGAACTCCCTCCATCGGTGGTGGCGGGGGTGGAGCAGGAGGTGGGGCAAAGCCAGGTCTGGTTCCCAGGGGTGAACTAATAGGAGGATCTGGTGGAGGATGGCTGGGGCTGACGAGGATGGATTTCTTCAGCCCTCCAGAAACACCCTGGCTAGGTGGATAACTGTGGAGTAGAAAGTGGGAAGAATGGAGAGCAAAAGAACCCCGCATGAGTTTTTTCCAAACAGGATCAAACACTGTCAGTGAAAAAGTACATCTTGACCGCAGTGCAAAGCAATCGGTTTCTCACATTTTCTGATATCCCTCACAAGAACTGACTTAAATTCTGTAATTTAGATTCAATGTTCCCTCTGGAATCCTAGGCTTTTGGAAAGATTCCAACGAATGTGAAAAGAATCTGAACATAGCACCCACACTCAAATAACCTTGACATGCAATTTAAAAAAAAAATCAATGTCAACAAATGCATGTCCCTTGTAATCCCACCTTTATAGAGTTCTGGCTTTCTGCAATTCTAAACAAATTACAGGCTGAATCCCCAGCATGGGATCTGGTTAACAATGTGCTCGCTGACCCATTTTTTGGCTCTTGTAAAGCTCCCTGCCCCTACCTAATTTTATGTTTAGTCTTTAAATGAGAAGAATCTTGAAAAATCTAAGGAGGACACATTTGGTGCTTTATTTGCAGTACATTGGCCCTTAAAATTAAGAGCTAGCATGCAACAAAGCACCAAGTATTTTCAATATGCTTCTAGGCCCGGTATTCTTAGAAAATAACACTGGGGGTAGGGGTGGGGGACAACAGCCCAATGCTTTGCTTGATTTCTGATAAAAGCCTATTTTATCATTGATGCTAGCCTTCATGACATGCTCTTCATGGTCTCCATATTCCAAATGCACCCATATTTCAAAAGGCATAAGAGTATCCAGATACACCCACTTTCATTTATTAAAATCCTTAACACCATAATATATTTATTTCATACCTTTTACAAGTAGGAATTTGTTTCCCTTTTAATTAAAGTACTTAGCTAATTCCCTATTTCTCTTTAATGTGTAATTATGGTAAGATATACCATCACCAAGGCTATAAATAATTGAATGTTTCTACGAAGGAAAAAATGATATATAAAACAAATCGTAACAAGAACTGCAATGCAACCGCAAACACAGGAGGCCAACTCTTGCTTCAGCCTAGTGTTTTAAGTATTGCTTGGAAAAAAAAGAAGTGTTTTGACAAGTTACAACCACTGACTGCACTAATGGACAGGCTCTTTAGGATCTTGTTTGAGTTGTTTTGATGGTTAGGGAGCCTTCAGCAATACCTACCTAAATTCTGCTGGTGGTGGCGGAAGACTATCATCGAATATTGGAGGAGGTGACGGTGAAGCTGATTCTGGCTGTGGAGGAGGTGGATAGTAGGTAGCATCAACGCTCTCATTGGAGCCAATGCTACCATTCTGATACACCATGTTAGGAGGGTACCTAAAACCACAAAAGTACAGTTGTGAGCAAAGAGCTTCCCCTTCCAAAAGTTCAAAGGAGCTTCAAAGGTAGAATGCTTATAGCATGTGCAAACCGTATAAACAGTAGTAACTTGGCTAGACTTTTATATCTATACAGGAAGTCCTCGACTTACAACAGTTCATTTAGTTACAACAGCACTGAAAAACGTGACCTATGACTCTTTTTCACACTTACGACCGCTGCAGCATCCCCATAGTCATGTGATCAAAATTCAAACGCTTGGAAACTGGTTCAGATTTATGACAGTTGCAGTGTCCTGGAGTCATGTGATCATCTTTTGCAACCTTCTGACAAGCAAAGCCAGATTCACCTAACAACCATGTTACTAACTTAAGAACTGCAATGATTCACTTAACAACTGTGGCATGAAAGATAGTAAAATGGGGCAAAATTCACTTAACAAATGTCACACTTAGCAACATAAATTTTGAGCTCAATTGTGGTCGTAAGTCAAGGACTATTTGTACTGCAGCATCTTACTATTAACTTGAATTTCAGTTATAGGGGCAGAGATCACTTTACCCATATGTTTAGACTCAGACCTCTGAAATCAATATAATTTATCTCCTTCTAAAAATTATACTATTCTTTAAAAAAGGAAAATGATGGATCACACCAGCAATCTTTTCCTATTCAAGAATGATTTTTCATCTGTTCATACCACATGGCACTTACACAAAGTGGCAAGTATAAAAAAAAACTATGGAAGGGTTCAGATGACAATCTCATACAGTTACTTCTTAGAAGAATAGTACCAAAATAGGGCCAGCGGTATATTATCACTCTGATTCAGATTAACATTCATACAGTTTTACCAATTTGCTATGGATTCCCAAGCCAGCTGATCCTGGCTGCAAGTGATGGATGTAAAACTGATATGGAGAATTATCCAAATTTCACCCGTTTGACAAAACAATTAAAAAGGCTTTCAAGATTCCTAATTGACATTTCCAGTTCATTACAAGAGTAAATATGTATGGAAAATAAACACACGTGGTCACGCAGAGAGGACCTTGGAAAAGTAACTGGACAGCTCTCTTCCAACGACTTCAGAATACACACGGGAAAAACTTCATGGCCTCGCTCAGGCATTCATTTATTCCAACATTGTCAAAGGCTTCTCTTTCGCAACACAAATGATGTGCCACTCTAGAAACAATTTTAGATGTGGGGTTTCCCCCCACCTTCTTCTAAGGGAAGAAGACCTGAATGTGATTGGTGTGATCCATCATTTTTCTTTTTTAAAGAATAGTATAATTTTTAGGAGGAGATAAATTATATTGATTTCAGAGGTGTATGTATGACCTTGACAAAAAGGTCAGTATATCATGAAAGATGGAAATTTGGCCTTTATTGTAAGGTTATTCTATGGGATGGGACAGGACGGGAACATTTCACTGCAGGATCCCCGTAAATGCAGTGAAATTTGTTTTTGAAATGGATAGTTTTCTTTACTCTGTAGCTTCGATTAATAAGGGGATTATTGACCCCTAAAGGAGATCATGTCTACCTTCTCCTAAATAGCAGAAGATCATAAGAATTATCTCATATGCTTGTTTCTTAGGGTAAAAAAGCTATTCCATATTAGTGTTTCTAGCTAATGTAGTTAAGAATATATCACATCCAATATATCTCTACAGCAAAATGACTGGCCCCAAATAAAAGTAGACAATTTATATTTCTGATAGATGAAGATACCCCCAAAAGTCAAGCTGATAGGTAGAATTCTCTTCTTTTAAATGCCACAGTAAGGAAGAGGTAGTTTGCTGAACATGTTCCAGTTCTAAAGCTACTAGCAGGAACAACAATCTCCAAATCAGCTCCACTATAACAACCTATATTGGTTCTAATCAGCAGTAGACAAATTCAGCACTTCTTGAAGGGAAGTCAAGGTTGCATAGTTAAGATATGAATAAGTTTGTACTACTATGCACTTATCTCATCTGCTTTTTCTCAATTTGCTCCCTATGCAATAAATAAATGGTTTTGTGAACTCTAAATGAAAGAGCATGGTGATTATTTCACTAGTCTCAAACCCTCACATTTCTACATTAACTATAATAAAAATAAAGTTACTTTCAAGTCAAGCACTACTCCTGGTGACTTACACTTCAGACCCATGCAGTTTTCTTAGCATGACTCAAAACTAGTTTGATAAGGAGCCAGATTTTTTTTTTTAAAAAAATATCTTTTTTTAAAACATAGCCTTAAAGAAATGTGCTAGGATTCAAAAATCTACCTCAACTATTCACTATTAACTAGAGCAGGCTCAGTCAAGCAGACTACACACATGTTATATCACAAACAATTTTAACGTTCCTTCCTAGGAAGGCTAATATTCAGGAACAAAAATCTTTAGCCTTGTTGGCTACAGGAACAATTCCATGGCCAGCATTACAGTTATCTCTTACCCTCCTAGTCCATGTTTTTCCCTTGTATCAACAAACTCTTGACCCATTTTCATTTTTTCCCATTCTTCTTTTCGGCTTTTTATCTTCCGAGGATTTACATTTCCTCTATTAGGATTATCCTTCTTTTCTTTCTATAAAATAAATAAATAGGAAGCAATTGTAGGTACCATTAAACCTTTAAGCTTGTCATGTGCAAAGAAAGGTTATCTCAATAAAAACATACATAATAAGGAACATATTCTCTCACTAGATCTAGCTACACTTATATGTTTTATTTATTGAATTTATATGCTGCCCATCTCCCGGATAAGGTGACTCTGGCGGCTTACGCCTATCCAATAGCACAAGTATTTAATAGTTCTTAAGTTCTTAATGTTTTATCTGAGTTATGTGTTTTGTAAATAGGTGTCCACTGACAAATGAAAATAATGTGCATCTTTACAAAAGAGACCAATAAGATATTCTTCAAAAGTCCAATCACAGGATTATATCTTACCTACTATAAGAAGATACCCAAGTGTAAAAACACAAATAAAGAAGAGCTGGGGTGTTATGTTGTTTTTTGCTATTAGCAAGCAACTGCTACATAATAGTCTCTTGATGTCACCGCTGCTAAATCAAACCTTAATTTAACGGTTCAGAATTTCCACAAATTAATTGCAGAAGGCTGGTTGGCACCAAGTAAGGTAATATTTTGGTTAAGAAAGCCTAAAAGGAAGCTACTAAAGGGATTGTGGGGGATAGAAAAAACTTCTTAGAAACTGCAAATTTCCCATATAACTACTTGACTTTTCACTAAGTGTTGTTAGAATGTAATTTCTATCACTTTTACTCAGCCCTAAATAAAAATGCAGTTAAAGCATAGGAAAATGCCATCTAGATAAAGATTTTTTATGAGTATGATTTCCCAACTGATTTATTTCAATTGAAAATATTCCCAAAATAAGACATCTTTTTGCAACATCTTTACCCAGAAATACGGAGCAGATAACTTAATCCACATTAGATAGACAGACAGACAGACAGACAACCTTTATTGTTAATTTTAATGTGGGCACAATGGCACAGGAAATCCCAACTTTGTTCAGTTGCAGGTTTAAGTGTACAAATAATCCTATCATTGGATATTCAATTCATATTATTATAACAATATGAACTATTTTGTTACAAAAAGTTATTCAAGATGGGCACTGTTTTCAGACCACAGAGTTCCCTTCTAACAATTATTACTAAAAATAATGGCATACTTGTACTGTTCTGAGTTAGAAAATAGAAGAAAATTCTAAATCCAGAACAGGGTTATCAACGATAAAAAGGAAAGGCCTTAAAACCTCTTTCCCCAAATAGTCCCACTCACAGTAAGAGATGTGGTTTCATCTACTTTGCTGCCTGCAGCTTCTCATAAGCTAAGTATGAACTTTGGCCATCAAAAGTTGCCTTATTCTGCTTCATGTATTATTCTTGTAATTGAGTACATGGCACTAGAGCAGAAGCACATATAATGCATAAAAAAAATTGAGTGAAGTCTGTCCCTCAGCCAATTCCCCCCCCCCCCACAAACCAGCTGTGTGATTGATTATCCATATCCACCAAGAGTTGCCAGCAGTCAGGCAATGGCAATCTCCTACCTTTCTCTTCTCTTTGTTCAAAGTTAGAACCAAACAAATGTGCATAAGCAAAACTGTGCCACCCATCTCACCCTATGCTTCCGTCTCTCTTTCATAATATCCTTGGTATCCTGCAGCATTTTCTCCTTCCAAAGATCAAAGAAATATGATGGATCTGTGTAGAATTTAAGTGCTTCCTTGCCATCATCCCTAGGAGAGAGGATATCCATACAGAATGAGATGGTTACATATGTGTACCCGACAACCAAATATGAAACAGAGATAGTAAGGGAAAATACCACAGTCTCTTAACAGTAAGTTTCCCCTTTAAGGTAAACCAAAATAAGTGGAAATTCTACACCAGTGACAGACTTCAACATGCAAAAGGCAATATTTTGAGATAGCATGGAGATATATATACTTCCTCAAATTTGGGGCAAAGCAAAGCAACGGGAACCGGAAGTTGCCAATCGTCTGGCCGACAGTGGTGGGCTCGGCTGCACTGCACTGGAAGCGCAAGGCAGAGGCGCCTTGAAAACGGACCGGAGGGAAAGCAGAGCAGAAGGGAAATCTGACCCCCCCAAAAATCCCACCTCCAGACAACCTTTTCCCCTCCTTTTTGAACGCCCTGATGGTCCCGTGATGGGCAAGGGGGGGCAGCAAGAGGAGGGTGCCGCCTGCTACGGGGGCTTCGACCGGTACTTCATTTTGGACAAGTAAGTGGTGGGACGTCGCGGTGGCTGTGCAGGATGAGGCTGGGCTGCACGGGGCGCTTTGTTTTGGGAAGGGGCACAGCAGCCCTGGCAGTTTTTCAAAACTCCGCAGCAGTTTTTTTCCCTTTGCTTTGGGTACCAATTTGGACAAAAAACACCTGGCGGATGCCGCGTTCCTTTTTCGTTTCTCTTTCCTCCGGATGAGGTCGAAAGAAAAAGTTTGGCTCCTTCACTGGTTTCTTTTTGCAACGTTGCTTTTTTGGGGAGGGGGGAGTTTAGCAAAGAGCAGCTGTCAGCTGTGGCCTGTTTGGTCAGACTTACAAACCCCCATTTCCAAAGTAAATCCCTCGCTCGGCTTCCCTCATGGGATGCAATTCCCGCGGAGCAGCCATTTAAGACAGGGGCGGGGAACCTCGGCTCTTGCATGACTCATGGACTTCAACTCCCAGAATTCCTGAGCCAGCCATGCCTGAGGGGAAAGGGAGAGGTTTCCAAGCTGAGCCATGCTGGCTCAGGAATTCTGGGAGTTGAAGTCCACGAGTCATAAAAGAGCCGAGGTTTCCCACCCCTGGTTTAAGATCTCTGAACTCCGGAGTCAATTTGAAACTTGCTCCATGGCTGTGATGGATTATTGATTCAATCAATAATTAAAAGCTAGCATCTACATACCCATGAAAAAGAAATATCTTTGGGAAATATTAAACAGGCAGGAACAATAGGAAAAGAGCTAGAAAACCTAGCCCCAGAAACCAACTATTATAAATACGAAAGGCTGTTCCAAAAGAAACATCCATTTCCCTTCTCTTAGAAAAGTCAAGCTGAAAAATAAAAGTACTAGAGAAGAGGGGTTTTTTTTCTCTCTGTCTCTCCTCTCTCTTCCTCCCCTGCCCAGTTAGTAGCCTCTGGAAGACAGCCAAGAAACAGGAAGCAAAAGAAACAATGTAGTGATAAGCGCTAGCCTTGAACAAACTAAAAGAAAGCTGTTGGTCAAATTTTTGACACCTTACTAGGCGACTGGTGATACTCGGATATTGCCATATCCCAAAAGTGGTAAAATGGGTAAAAAGGTTGAGAAACACTGCTTTAGAGGGTGGAATTTAAAGAAAGCATATGATATTTCTCTTGGATATGTTACCTGTATGAAGATAGAATGTTAAGAGGTGGTGGTTTATTACAGGTTTTGTATGTTTCAAGGACAGGCAGAGGGGCAGACTCTCTCTCAAAGAGCTTTTGGTCCTGAGTCGTGGAGCTCTTAAAGGCTTTCCTGGTGTTAATACCTTGCAATGACACTATGAAGAAAAAGTAATGGGAAAGAAAATAGTCATTGGAAACCCAAGTTAATATTTTTACAAACAAATTTTTTTTGCCACATCTCCAAGAAAGCTTTCAAAAACAAAACTCTTTTTTGATGCTATTTCAGAGAGGACTGTCAGAAAGGGAATTGTACAAAAAACCAGTAGAAATTATTATTTACCAAAGGACCCAAACTGTTATGGAATTAGTTATCATATTCAAAGTAAAATACTACCCAGAGGTCATGCAGTTTCTCTCTTTTTTTTTCTTGCAGTTTATGAGGCAATTCCCAGAGTGTGGCCAAATTTGATCTTGCATTTTTGGGAATGTAGCAACAAATATTATTAAACATGGCTGGGTTCTTTGAAATGTTTTGGTTTTTTTAAAAAATTCAATATTCCCATGGGCAATTCCTTGTTGCCTCCTGGATCCTTCTTCATTGCTAATTATGATTTTAATGGATTTTTGTCTATATGCTTGTCTTTGATTAAAAACAGAGAAAAGCATGGAGAATCAGTCGTCTCTAAACAGAGGAGATTGAAAAAAAATCATGGAAAATTAGCAGTTGGCAATTTTATAAAATTACTTAGCCAATCAAAAGTAAAGTATTTCAAACAGCTTTAAGTGAAAAAGAAACAACTATCCAGATGCTGGGAAAGTATCTTTTTGTAAATCTAGACTCTAATAAAATTCAGGTCAATATGGTGCTTCCCCTCCCTACTCTTACCAGTAATCCAATGGATACAACAGATTGGAGTGTCCAACCGTGGCAACTTTCAGACTTATGGACTTCAACTGTCAGAATTCAAACTTCAACACCCCTGCAATAGACTATCTGAATTTGCAAAAAGTGTCTGTATCCTGCATGTTTATTTCTTAATCTCTTCTAAACTCGTGTTCCCTTTCCTTCTCAAAAATGTTGGCAGTTAACCCGCACACTGAACACAAGCAGCTGAATTCTACGGTTTCATCAGAAGAAAGGACTGGAGAGGACCTCAAGGTAAGGAGTGCTTCTTTTGAACATGGTTGCCCTTTCCTCTATACCAGTGTTTCTCAACCATATCAACTTGAAGATGTGTGGACTTCAATTCCCAGAATTCCCCACATGCTATCTCAGGAATTCTGGGAATTGAAGTCCACGCATCTTCAAGCTGCCAAACTGACAAACACTGCTCTGTACAGAGTGGTAAGCAAAAAGGCATTCATGCTTCTCACTATTATGAGGTGACTTTTCCTTCCATAACAAAATAAGGCAGGGTACCACTTTTATACAAGAATCTCTTGGGCAAGCATGATGAAAAACTTGATGGTCAGCTGAGACTGCTGGGTGACTCAGGGTGATTTCCCAAACTCTCAAGAAAAAATTGGCTACTGCTGTAGTTCTGAATCATAATGTTCTAAAAATATAACATTTTATGTACCTTCTTCCTCCTTGGGATCCAACTGAGTAACTTTCACCTGAAGGCAATCAACTCTCTCAACTAAAGAGCTGACTCGAAAGGAAACTGTGGTTGCTTGAGTAAATAGCTCTCCGAATATGTCCTCTGCAAACTTACCTAGAAAAAGAAAAAAGAGGCACGCAAATTGAAATGCTGGAAAAAATTTCCCAGAAAAAGATCAACAGTAAAATCACTTTCATCCAATTGCTCCCGCAAACCCTCCCCCCACATGTGTGGCCAGGCAGTCACAAGTTGACCTCAATGAAATGAGTCTTTAACTTAATCATATGCATAATTAAGTATTTTTACTGCTTTTATTCCCAGGATGCAATTATAGAAAACAATACATTTTCCTTTAAAGCTAAAACATTAAGTTTTTTTTTAAAAGCTTCCATAGAAATACTGAACATACACATGGTACTTCCATAAGTTAAGCTTATTTATAGTCTCAAACTAATAAAGCATAAAATACAATACTTAAAAGCACAAGAAAAGCAAATCCGAAACAAACAGTAATAAGGTACCAATTGACTTCTGCAAGCTATAGCTATTGCTACAAATTGACAAGAACATCTTTCAAAATAAAAGGAAGGAAGTGATACATAATTGGTAAAGACTTATTAAGTAGTAAGAAAGATAACCAGGAGTCAAACTGTAGCATCACAGCCAAGCAGCTATTTACAACCCAAAAAATAAGATTCTCACAAGCTTAATAATCAGATTTACTAGTAGTATAAAACAAGTTAGATTATAACAATCTTGGCAAGTGAATATATATTTTCTGCCATTCCCTGAACCTCCTCCCAATTGCCTGTTCTTGCAATGTGGAAGTGGCTTCCTGTTTTCCTGATAAAGAGGAAATGCAGATATTCCACACTTGCAATACTCGGAGACCCACCGTTCTCTTTCCTAAGAAGGCCACTGCACATACGGTGGGGTCTTTTTAGCTTCTAATATGGTCTGCGGGATAAAGAAAATATAGCTCTATTCCACTGTCTTCTGGAAGCTCTAAAAGACTGACTTCATTACATGATACCCAGAGGAGGTCCCATCTCTCTGCTTTCCTTCACACTGGGCACAAAGTCATTTATTATTTGCAGGTGGCAGCACCAGAAACCAAAGCAAGGTACTTTCAAGGTTGAAAATAATGTTCCCAATGTTGTATGGGAGATTTAATGTTTCTACTAAATCAAACAAAAGATCTGGAAAAGAAACTTCATGGGGAGCGGATATTAAAAACGTTTAAATAAATAATTAAAACAAATTAAAGTCTACAGGCAAACTTATGGAACACCTGAAATTTTCTGGGGACGCCTGAGAAGCCCACAGCAGCATTCAACAATTTTGAAATGCCAACAAAATGAAGGAAATCATTTAGTATTTATTCAGTTTTATTGATGGGCTCCTTGTTTTCACAAAGACAAGATCCTAAGTGTGCAGCAGGAAAAGCAACGATGGTTAGCAAAGACTGAAAGATGTGGAGATATATAGTGAACAGCATTAGTGTGAATTCTTTTTAGCCATATTTCCTTCACCCATCCTCACCTTAATTACTTCAGCATACAAAAAAGGCAGCAAATTATTTTATGGTTATGCATTTGTGTAATATACTTATGTATACTATGTATTACTGTGAGATTTCAAGTGTGAACCTATCTAGAAAGAATACCCAAATGTAGCCTGCAATGTAAAGTACTCTTTGTCACACAGTACTTTAAAAGGGTTGTCTTTCACACTTCATGGTGCCAAATTTGCACTCTATTCTTTGTACAAACGTAATTCTCCCTTGATGCTATCACCTTTGATTAAATGCAACACACACTATTTTATTTGACTCACTGTTTGTATTTCTATTGAGTCTCTACACCTCAGGGAATTAGCAGATCTCTGGGGATCCACAGGTGAAATAAATTGTCAACTTTTTCAATAAACCCTTTTATCTTGAAAAGTATTGCTTTTTTCACCATACTGTCCCCTAAACTCTGTAACTGCACAAGTGTCACATATGAAAATAAGTGGTTTCTCAATCCATAAAGTTCACACACTACTATATGTGGAGCAGGGAGAGAGAAAAACAAACTCAGATAAAATGTGCTACATCTGTATGATTTTTCTGGATTAACTGCAGCAAGGGTATATGCACCATTTCCAAAACAATCTAGAAAGAGTAAGGCTTAAAGGTTTTGACTGTCTTCAATCATACACAAGTTTTAATAATAAAAAATATCATAATCAAGGACAGAACCAGATCTGCCTCGTTCCCTCCCTCATTTCCTCAAAAATGCACAATGATTTCAGAAAAAGGCTCCTTCCACAATTTTCATCCGACAGTAACATCCAAACTGTTCTGCTGATATATTTCAACCTTTTCAAACCTCAAGAGTTTAAAGCAGCATTTTATGTACATGTCAAACTGTCTTGTGTACATATTTGCTTTGCAGACAGAAATACTATGGTTCCTTCCAAAAAGGGTGGGGAACAGAGAAGACAACAGATCTTCAGCAGGGGAAGAAGCAGCAAGTCCCTTTACCAATTAGCCCCTTGACTCACTATAGTCATTATTTGGGACTGCACAGTAGAACAGATGTGGTAAACCTATTTCTTTTTCAAACTGAACTGAACTACTAGTATCAGCATGGACATGTGTACTGAGTGATCTGTAATAGTTCTGCAAGGATGTTTGCAGTTGTTTAATAGTAAAACAAAAAAAATTCCACCAACACAGTCCCTGCCCTCAATAAATAAAGCCTGGAACATCTAGAACTAGATTATATGTAAAAAAAATTATTTGCTCTGGTTAATCCTAAAATTCCAAACAGGTTTTGATTTATATTTTGGTTTTCTGTACAATCTGACACTTGGTTTTTCACTCTAGCTTGTTAGGTACAGCTCAAGCTCCTGATACACATGTGAAGTTAAACAAGGGACTTCCACTTGGAAGTGGGACTTGGTTGTTCCTGCTGACAGAAGAGGTGCAACAGGAGTAAGCAACATGTACCAGCTTACTTGCATGTTTAAGCAAGCCAAAAAACACATAAAAGGGTAGATAGATCTCTGCATTTGAATTATACTCTTAAATGGTAAGACTGTGTGTTGCACCTTCTTGGGTTCACCTTTTCCTGAACTCTGGGAGACAGCAAGCTACCTAGCACCAGTGGTAGTTAAGTGAATAGGCAAGTGGAATGTGGAAAAAAACTTGTAAATAGATGAACAATGTCTGTATCTGGCTATAAATGAAGCTCTTGCACTTTTGCATGGAACCTTGGAAGCAATTCATCAAAATCTGGAGGACAGCAATCAGGGATAAAAATGTTAACATTTAACTGCCAGGCAATAGGCCGCTTTTGACATGCAACTTAAAGTCCACAAAAGGCTGAAGTGACATGGAAAGAATGTGCAGATGTGACAGTGAGCAAAACATTTTTAAAAATAAGAAGTTCAGGTCTTAGTTGGAAGATTCCATTGTCCTGAATCTCCACTTGTGCTATGTAACCATCTTCCCCAACCAAGGCAGAACTTGGTAATCTCAACTATGGGAAGGTGTGTGTGTATTGTATGAGTGTGAATGTGTTTGAATTCTTTTTTCACAAACTCTGTAATCAATATTTTATTGTTGTTGAATCTTGGTGTCTTGTGATGCTCACTGCATGAGATTAGACTATATTTCTCAAGAGTGGTACTGCTTCATTACATCAGTAAAATGCAAGGCATTGAGACGATTGCATGATGGTTGTATAATAAATAGTCTCCTTTGCACAACTGATCCTATGAAATTTATAAATTTGTTTCTATGATTTTCCTAATCCTAATTATTAGATTTTTTTCCCTGCTGCTTGGACAGAGATGGCATATAAATAAAGCAGACGAACAGCACATTTTCTTTACAGCTTGTGTCATGGACACACAATGTGCTTGCAGCTTTCCGCTCTGCTACAAACGGTGGGATATTTACAGCACAATCTTATGTACGTTTATGCAGAAATGTTTCACTTCATTCAACAGGAAATTCAAATGTATGTTCACAGGATTGAAGTTTTAAACTTCAATATGCGCATTTACATATCCTTGCATGCATATAGGGAAGTCTGTGAGTAAGCTCTATGACAGTGACGGCGAACCTTTTAGAAACCAAGTGCCCCAAAACCGTCCCTGATGATGTCCAACCGCTCCTGGGAGAGTTAGACCATACAGTTCATGGTGTCTATGATGGCTCCCAGGTGCAGAAGTCTGGATGAGGGAACCATCTGGCTTTTTTGGAAGTTCACCGAGAACCCGTGCTGTTGGAGAACCTGAATAGTTAAGTCCAGGTCTGACTCAGCCACCCGGAAGGAGGACGCTTGGATCAAGATGTCGTCCAGGTACCACTGGACGCGTACCGGTACCTTCCGTAGGTGGGCGGCCAGCAAAGCCAGGATCTTGGTGAACACCCTGGGCGCCGAGGAGAGGCCGAACAGGAGGGCCTTGTATTGGAAATGATGGCCCCTGTAACAGAACCTGAGGAACCACCGGTGATCTGGAAGGATGGGGATGTGGAGATACACTTCCGTGAGGTCTATTGACACCAGGAAGTCTCCCTGTCTGATGCCTCCCAGGATGGACTGGAGTGATTGCATCTTGAATTTCTTGTATGCAATTTCTTGTATGCAATCCTAGACCTCACACCTTTGAGGTCTAGGATCGCCCTCCATCCCCCCGAGGTTTTGGGAACCACGAAGAGGATGGAGTAGAATCCCCTTCCTTTGTGATCCGGCAGTACCGGTTCTATGGCCTGTATCTCCAAAAGATGATGAATGGCCTCCTGCATAAGTCCCCGATTGATTGGATCTCGAGATGTGGGGCAGGTGATGAAGTGACCCGGAGGACTGGCCAGAAACTCGAGGGACAGACCTTGTTGTACGGTCTGTAGAACCCAGCTGTCCGTGAAAGGACGGGAGGGTTGGGTGGCTGCTGAGCCCGAAGCTGGCCAAAAGGGTTGCCTCCGGGAATAAGGGGTGGCACGCTTGTCAGACCATTTGGTAAGATGAGCCATGACTTTCCCCTTATCCTTGTTTTCCAAAAGGTACAGATTCAGGGCCTCCCCAAAGAGATAGTTGCCCTGGTAGGGGGCAGTTGCAAGGCGCCATTTGGCCTTGGCATCAGCCTGCCAGTGCTTGAGCCATAGCATCCTCCTGGCTGTAACGTTGGAAGCTAGGGCTCTTGAAACAAAGTTTGCTGACTGTAGAGTTGCGTCTGACGCGTACTCCGTCGCCGCAACCATCTTACTTAGGTCCTGATGGGTCCTAATGTCCTTGGGAGGGAGTCTGGCTTGAAGCTGACCAAGCCATAAAAGTGTGGTTCGTACGAAGGACGCGCACTTGGCCATTTTAATTGCCCACGTGGCCGATTGATGGGTCTTGCGGAAGGCCAGGTCCCATTTCCTGTCCTCCGCCTTAAGTGCCTCAGCCATGTCCCCGGAGACCGCTGTCTGGGACTCCAGAGGGGTCCAGGCTTCGTCTACCATTGGTACCTCCAGTGCCTCGGTGAGGTCTATGGAGGTGCTAAATATCTTTTTGTTTCGAAGAAAAACGGGTTCGGACTCACCTCGGATGTGGCTTGTGGCTGAGGGAACTGATCGAACCCTATGTTAGCCGTAGTAGTGGCCTTGCGAAGCAAGGGGAGAAACAGAGCCGGGTTAAACAGGCCTCCAGATGGAGAGAGGTCCGGGGGAAGCTCTTCCTCCTCTGACCAATTAAATTCCGGCTGGTCACCTCCCGTGGGAAATGAATATCCACTAATTGAGGAACGGGCGGGAGACATAGGTTTCTGATACAGGGGAATCCCTGCTGGAGGGGCGGAAGGAGGAATGGCCGATGTAGAGGAATGGCCGTTGGAGAGCAGGGCCTCAAGGCGGCCATCGGAGAATATGTCTCCGAGTTCTGGCCCTCTTGAGACCGGCAGCTGTTGGAGTGAAGGTGGCTTCCGGGGCTGAACCTGAAGCAAATGACGGTGGGCTGTGTGCTGGGCTGCCGGAGTGATGGAGTTGTCCACCAAGGACCACATGCCTTGAGCCAAGGTGGAAGGCCCCAAAGGGAGATCAAATTCCGGGGCCACCAATTGATCCCTCTCATTCCTTGCCTGTTTCTGCGCTCTGGAGAACCCCTTCTCCAGAGCCTGGTGCCTACGGCTGGCCTGCTTCTCCGCCAACTTGGAAGGCTTCTTGAGGGTGGCCTTTGCCTTGTTCTTAAGCTTGCCTGCTGCCTCCTGTTTGGAGGTTTTGCGTTGGCCATGACTTGAGGATGGGGATGCGGTGCTCATGGGTTGAGGTACTGTGGAGTCCTCCATCCTGGGTCGAGCTATCTCAGGAAACCTGAGGGGGAGCTCTGGCAGGCAAGCGGTTGGTGGGAAGAGTAGTTGGAGCAAGTAACGGGAACTGCTCCCCTGACCATCTGACCAGGTAATAACTCTCTCTGGGAAGTAGGTCATGGCTGTGAAGGTAAGGCCGAAGGCACGGTTGGGACCCGCTCTGGGCTCTGCCCGGAGGCCTTAGGTGGTCAGTCAGGGTACACCAGAGGGCCCAATGAAGGGCGCAGAGGCCTGAAAGGAAGGCCTGGCAAGAAAATGGCGAAAGCTCAAAATGGCGGCTGCGGATTAAAATGGCGGCCTGAGTAAATTGGACATGGTTGTAACGTATCTAAGAAGGATTGAAATCCCTTCAACTGCAGCCTAGTAAGTTACTGGGGCTGCAGCCACTGGGGTAGGCACTTGTGCGGCCTACTGGAAGGACCGCGTGGCGTGCTCAAAATGGCGGCCACGGTAAACTCCTGAGAAGTTACTGGGCTGTTTAGGGCTGCGCTGGAGCCGGGACCTTAGACCAGAGGGGACGAGAGAATTATTCGAGCCTCCGAGGGCAAAGAAGCGACAGGGAGCTCCGTTAGGGCCTCTGTTGCCTTCGGCGGCAACCAAAATGGCGGCCGCTACTTTCGGCCGTGCGGACAGCATCCGGAGGCCTCAAAGGCAACTTGGCAGGATCTGAAGGGGGCCGTAGCAACAGTGCCAGGCGCTGTGCAGGAGCGTTAAAACGGCGAGTTGCCTGCGATCGATATTGGGAGTGAGCTCCGATGTCGTGTTTGAGTCTTGGTGCTTTTAGCGGCCGCCAAAATGGCGGCCGCGGCTGTTGGGGATGACTCCAGAGGACTTGGGAAGCGCTTTGAGGGGATTTGGAGTGTTCAGGGAGAGCTGACAAGGGGAGGATGGCTGAGAAAGGTTTCCCCAGGGCCCTGGGAAAGGAGAANGTTCCCAGGCTTTAAGTACTGACCTGAAGTGCTGGAAATTATTGGACAAGGAGAATTCACTAATGGATCTCTAATCTGCTATTATGCTCTGAGAGCCAAACCTGACACGTCTTCAAGAGCTTGAGACCAAGTCAAGACTGGGTCTCCTAGCAAGAGGGGGCGTGTCAGGTTTGGCTACTTGGTCTCAAGAGCAGGCAGACAGAGAAAACCCATTGGTGGATTCTCCATCTCCTGTACTGGAGAATAAGGTAACACTTCAGTTGCAAAAATTTCTCTTTTTATTACTTCAGCCCACGTTTTACTCAGCTTTTATATGAAGATATTGTTCAACCAGATTAAAACTATACCCAACTAATTAATATTCATCTGCAGACATATTCAGCAAGAGAATAAATTAAAACTGGGGGATTTCAGGTATGCAATGAAGTTTCAGTTCTAATCATTAAATTGCTTCATGTTCTGACAAAATTCTGAACACTGAAATCTGAACAATGCTTAATAGTGTGCCCCGTGTTTTATCTCAGCTTTTACTCCAACTATCCTGTGCATTCCTCTCAAAGAACATTATACGGAAGATCTTTTGGTACTGAGAAAGATGGATAATAAATAAGTCACAAGGAAAGAGGGCAGCGAGAAAGAATTGAGAGTCCAACAGCTCTTGAGAGCAGTTTGCTATGGTACTTACTCAAACTGCCCAGCTGTCGAATGACATTTGACAGGGTGATGTTGGTCGCACATTCCAGCTCATTCCGAACACTGGGCAATGTCTGGCGGCACAGGTGCCTTGGCTCAATATTTCTTGTTACTAATGGCATGGTGGATCAGCTTCAAACAGGGCTCTGAAAGATAAAGAATAATCCCCAAACAGGAAAAAGATTATATGGCAACAATAGAGATACATTGATTTTCCTTCTCATACACTCTATCATATCATAACGCAGTTATGTATTCCACTCTCTCATAACCTCCATGAGATATTTTTTAAATAAACCTATTTTTTAAGTTGCCAGAAGGAAACCAAAGCTTGATAGTTCGAACTCCCACCAAAAAATGTCACTGCTGTAACCTGTCCCTTATCCATTTATTCAAAACTATAAATTGTTTTTAATACTGTTAAATATTTTCAAAAACTATTCTTATTTATTAAATCTAGAAGCTGCCCATCTCACCACTAGCAACTCTGGGCACTATAAAACTATGAAAGACCATTGTGAACATTAACACAAACATTTTAGCTGGAGGAAAGATAAAAATTTGTCATGCTAGACAAACTGGATTCTCATGAGAAAACAGGAAGTGTTGATAGCTGACCAGGCAGCTTACTAACAACTGCTTTTTAGCCAGAGGGATGTACATTTCTCCTAAATTCCCTCATGATGGAAGGTTTTCCTACTAATACATTTTACTGTACAGAAGAACACAGTAGGCAATGGCCTATCACAATCAGATAAATGCCCTAACTTTTGAAATTATACTAGCTCAGAAAGATTCTGAAGGACAATCGTGTTTGCCTTTCCCAAAACTTTTTTTTTATCAAGGCATCTTAAGTCAGTTAACTTAACACTTAAAGAAAACATTTATTAATAAATAATATTAATTAAACAAGTCAGTTTGTAGGTGGGAGATGCCTAAATCGAATTAAATAAATATCTTACAGCCACTAGGGGTAAAAATGTCAAAATACAAAAAGAATGATACCCTTTTGACGTTCACTACCTTTCTACCTTCTATAAAGCTAACTATTCGATTCTCGGCAATCATAAAGTAGTATTAAAGTGCCTGTATGCTCGTGCCATTCATCTTCAAAAGACACTGATATTTCTCTTCAAGAATTTGTACTCTGTTGGAGAACACAACCATGTATTTACGAGCTGTCCAACTAGTGAAAATAAAATATACTGCATTTAATTAGCTAATTTTCAAGGAGGAAAAGGGAACCCACTCCTCTCTGAGGTTAGGCAGCAAACAGCTCTGCTAAAGGAGACAGCTGCCTTGTGACAAATGCTCTGATCTGCTGTGGGATGGAATGGGGGGAAAAAAGCAGGAAGCTGACAGCTTGGGGAACATGGCTTCCTGTCACCAACAGCAACAATCCAAGACTCGTTTTCTTTTTTTAAGTCGGCTGTTTATGCTTGACTTTGAACCACCTTTTTATAGTCTCTGTGGCAGCTGGCAGCTTATCTCTGAGGTGCAGGAGTCATTCCTGAATGCTTTTCTATCAGGGTGTTAAGGGACAGGAGCTGATTTAGCTTTTGCTAATTACCTCCCAAGCCAAAATCTGAATTTCCAAATTTGACCTACCACTGCAAAGGAGTCCAAGATCTAGAGGGTACAGAACAACATCCAAGGTTTTATGTGTAACATAAAGTTACAGTGGGGGGGAGGGAAAACCCCTAAAATTAACAGTCAGAGTAAAGAACAGCCAGGAAATCTTAAAATAAATTAATTTACCTCTTACCAAGTCATCCTATGCTTGAGTATTTCAGAGATCAGTCTACATATTGTGCTCATAATCACAATTATTAGGAACAACTTCTAGTTCTGATTTTGTAATAAGTATACAAGGTAGTGTCTCACTCAATCCTTATGTTAATTCTGCAGTGTTGCTTTTACTAAACTTTTAATTGGGAAACAGGTTAAGTAAGATATATTTCAAGCTACTACAATGTTCTTGGCAAGTCTGGCTCTGAACCTAACTCAAAGGTTAGCTTCAAATGGATGGTTTTCCCTACAGTGATTAGCTTCAGAGAAGGATTAGCATCCTTCAGATGACACGCATCTGGTTTGCTAAATGTCAACTACTGTTATACAGTATGTTGAAAATGGAATATCATTCTGAAGAGATGCACAAATGCAGTCTTTGTTCATTCTTAGAGTCTGCGAAGCAAACCTAGATCACTGTTTGAAAAATATAAAAAATTATCTACAAAAGTCTAATTGCGGCAATCTATTTGCCTGTTTATACACTTATGTTAGCCCAAATGGTGCACTATACAGCATAATTTTTTGAATCAAGGTACTTAAAATCCACTAACTTAAAGGATGCATAAAAAACCTGGGAAGTTTGGTTTAACAAAGCAGGAAAGAACAGCTGAAATGTCTATTGAGACAAAGACTAACATAAAAGAGGTAGCAGCAATACAAAAGCAGAAATGGAAGTGCAACTGTAAGCACATACCAGTGGAGTAAGAGTATCACAAAGCCACCAGTTATATAGAAATAACACTAAGAAAACCGCACTCCTTCATAAATGAAAGGAGAAAGCCCCAACTTTATGAAAAACAAGGTGAAAATAAAGTTTTTCAGCTGGGGATTATGAGAAGTGACATCCAAACACCAGCTTGGGAGAGGTTTGATACAAACTATGAAATGGACATCCTCTTAAAATTATATGATCATGCTTTTTCATCTCAGATCCTACAGTAACAGCCTTTCTGCCATGTGGCAGCAGGCTACATTTCAAGATATATATTGATACAATATATAAAGTTAAACATATCCAAGACGTCTTACTCGTGGCTTATTAAACATTTTTGGTACTATAAACTGAAATGTGGGAAGAAGAGATTCACCACTTGCGTATAGTGCATATTTGGCTGGAAAAATATGCTATCATTTGTATGCAGATACTACTAACATTTCAGACTATACAAACAAACAATAGCTTGTAAAAAGTTCAAACATCAAAAAGAGGAGAGGCATGTTCCCCTGAACAAATCAGGATTTTTTTCACTGTCACATATCACAAAAATGCTTATAGAAGGATTAATTCAGGTAAACAATTCTTTTAGTATGTTGCTTTGTCGCCTGCTTGAAAATTAACAGTGAACACTGAAAGGAAGGAAACGAACAAGAGCCCCACCCTCACCTAAATTAACGGCAAGAAAAGCTTCAAATAAAATATTTCTGAAGGAGTTGACTCCCAGTCTTGTAACTGCAGTAGAAAAACTCCCCCCTTTTTAAAAAAACAAAAACAAAAGACAATATGTGGGGGGAAACCTCCAAATGAGCCCTGCCACAACAATTCATCTCTAATGACATACCACATTTTAATATCAAGTATCTTTTAGGATATACATCCAAAACACTGCTATAATGATTTTGACAGCAATCCACCCTATATGTTAAAGGGAAGAATTCTGAGCTCTATTTAGATGTTTTGCTGAACATGTCAGCAATTATACCTCTGGTTTAAAAAATATAGTTCCCCTTTGGACTTTCAGAATGTTTGCATATCTTTGTTGCTGAATGTTATCAGAGGTTATGTAGGTCCCAATGGTATATAAAAG